TTCAAAATTCGAACCGAACTCGAACCAGACTTTTAATTAGGTTCGAATTTTCGAACCGGACTTTTCGTCAGGTTCGAATCCAGTTCAAGCTCGAACTGAACCAGACTCGAACCGAACCAGACTTTTTTTCGGAAACCTACTATAAAACAGAAAAATTCTTTTAGAAAATCTTTCTGAAATAATTTAATAATTTTGATAAAAGATCTGTAAAGTATAATTAAGAGAATATAAAAGATTTATTAATATATATTAACTCTATCCAACAAGATCTATAAATATAATATCTCATATTTTTATAAATTCTAATAAACTATATGTAAAGGTTTATAAAAGAAGAATAACTAATTAGTAGTTTTTTTGAAATTTATAATTCATGTAATTAATATTAATTGCAAAAAAATAAGTTATTTTTTATTATTATAATTTAGCAATTAATTATTCTAATAATAATTCTATTAATTATATTCTATTTTAATTTAAATTATATTCTTAATTTATCTTATATTTTACTTATAATATCATATTTTTTTAATATAGCATGTGTTAAGTATTAAATTATATGTCACTTTGATCTTAAATTATACCTTGCATTTTAATAATAAATATAATTTGAAAATATATAGAAATTTCAATATTAATAAAAGTTATGTATAATTTTTCTATAAGTAAATTAAGATTTGTAAATTCTCACTTTGTGATAATTATTATTTGAGTTAATAGTTGGAGTCTTTGATCCAGAAAGATATTAATTTTGTTAATTAATTGATCAAAATGCTTTATTAAAAAATATTAAAATTTTTAGCTAGAAAAAGCACCAATTATAAAGATAAATAAAAATACTTAAATTAATCACAAATTCTAAATTTATTATCTGAATCTGAATTTATTTTTTCAATTCCTCTAAGTTACTATAATAAATAATATCTATTTTCTTTTTCTCTCTTTAATAATAAAAATTATAAGAGAGAATAAAAAGAATATGGATAATAAAATAGAGAGTATGAATATAAATTTCATTTTTTATGAAATAAGTGAAATTCGAAAAAGCAAAAGAATATTATAATAGCTAACCTGTTATATTGATATTTATAGATAACTTCTATAATATCAATTTTTCAAGTAAGTTAATCTTATTATATTTCTTTTTTAGTCTAAGAACTAGTTATTAATAAAAAAAATTAAAGATTAAATATAATTTGTCAGACGATTCGTCATTCGCCACGGCGAAAGGTTTCATGAAAATCAATACATGTACATGTACATATATTATTGATATTTAAATATGCATTTGCGCATTCGTTCATTTCCAAAAATGGTCATCAGGCATCGTGAGTTACGAGTTAGTACATGTATTTTATTGGTCAGAAGATTCGTCAGACATTTTCAAAATGGTCGTGACGAACGGTTTAGTCGTCGTCAAGTATCATGTATATCTATACACTGATAAAATTTCATTTCATATTCAATATTAAAAAAATATACATGTATTTAACTTAGGACATCTGCAGATCAAAAAAATTAATAATTTATCCCTAACGCTAAATTAATTAATTAATTATACATGTAGGTTTTCCCTGATCCGCATCCCCTTCTTGCTGTTGTGGTTGCTGCATTTTAATTTCTTCATAGACTATAGTGTTAATAAAATTATTTTCAATGTAACGCGTAAATTTTTCCATATTTTCAACTCTTTTTTTGAGCTTGTTTATATCAGCTTCCATGTTAGGTGAAAGGTTTTCTGGCCTAGCTTCCATGTCAGGTGAAGGGTTTTCTGACCTAGCTTCTTCCTCGTCAGGTGAATGCACCTTATTGTAGAGTTTTTTTATAGTTTTGTTTTTGACTTTCTTCCTCAATCCGCAGCATCCACCATGTATAACACCCCATGGTGTCATTGAGTCAACTCCTAAATATTTTTGAAATAAT